CTGTATTTTTTTTGCTAGTGGTCGGGTTGCTTCGCATGCCACTTGATCACTACCTAACAAGACCCTAAACAGCGTTAGAGCTATACATTAGACCCACAAAACTGGCCACAATTGGTAGTACAGTGGTCCTTTAATGAGTCACAAGTGTCGCGTATCGGAGTCGGAATGTGCTGAATTCGAACCGCGGCATCGAAAACTTGGTCGAATCGCGCATTTCGTGCCACAAATTTGTGCGTGTGTCGCTAGATGTGACTCCGCAGTGACTTTTATGTATACCGAGAGGAGTCACAGAAATGTTTCGGAGTGTAATGTTAGGTTTTTGGAGCTCGTTGGGACTTTCGGTATACTTTTCGGGGGAAAAACCTACAGAGGGCCAAATTTGAGACCCAAACAATTTTGCGATGAAAGGGAACGAAGGCAAAAGCGTAGCCGCGGCCGAAGAAAATGCACCCTCGGTCAATCGACACGCCGCCGTGCACAGAGGTGCCAGGAGAGAAGGACCATAGAACGTTACCCGAGGCAGCGTCAAACGCGTACACGTGACCAGCGGCGTCCAAGGTCGTACCGAACACGACGCCGTTAGCGACGGACGGCAGCATGGGGGAAGTTGGGGTTCTCCTGCGACCGAGCACCGCACTCGTCGCTGTGGGTGGTAGTCGCGCCGGACGGCAGCAGGGTGAATTTCGTGAACTCATTGTTCTCGTTGCTTTATGTAAACGCGGCGGAGGTCGGACGCGATGCCCCAAGATGAGTCGCCCAGGGAGCCTCCTGGCCCAGTTGCTGTGGACCACACGATCTGTCATCGCTACGAAAAAGGGCCCAGATGATCCCCGACTTCTGCCCAATCACAGCAAGGTCACGCTCGGTCGTCCCGCCAGCGCATTTCGAGCCGTTCCCCGACTCGGTGATTGACAGGAGAAGCGGCGCCATGCCAAAATCGTAATCGTTTTCGGGGTTGGGGGGGCAGTTGAGCTGCGATTTCCGAATACACAAGCCACTGTAAAAGCGCCGATCGGGCTCAGGTTCCGTGCCCACGAAATGCTTCCCGCGGCAATATCGGGGGCAAGGACTGGGTCGAAGTAGTTCCCCTCTTCGATGCACGGATCGAGGAACACCGGCCGGCCCTCCGTCTCCAGCTGCTGGTGCTGGCACTCTGACACGCTCGCAGGCACACATCCCAAAATTGCATTCGAGGGGGTTGGTGTACCCAAAAGTGCAAGAGGGACTTCGTACCCCCGCCCGTAGTATATGTACAGTCCCTGCGATGAACCTACATGTTATTCGGGGTACCTCGTAGCCACCATGCTTGCCGAACCTACCGAATGTAAGCTCGGTACAATGTCTTGCTTTGCTAGTGGTTACTGTGTGTGGGCTCTGCATTCGGAGCGAATCCGGAATGTTCTAGCCTACACAATATGTTGGGTTCCAAACCTACAATGGGTCTACCGGGCCTGTACTTCGATGTAACTTTGTCAAAATACTCAGTATAATAACCACAATTTACAAGTTCATTTGCATGAGAAGCGCGCTTTTAAAGGCTCAGAGTTTAACACAAAGCGTGACAAAAAGACACGAAAACGTACCACTCAAACCAAGACAGCAGCTAAACCGGATTTCGGCGGATTTTAGGCCACAAAAAAACCAGAACCGTAGATTTCGAAACTTCACGATTCAGATCGAATCTGAGCGCTCAGCTGAAAACTGTGAAATTTTCTGCATGTTCGAATTGAAGCCGTTGATCAGAGACTCCTTCAACGGATGAGATGAGCTATGTTTCTGGTTGGAGAATGAGTTGAAAACGTCGATCTAACTGGATGGTCAAGATCTCAGCTGACTAATCCAAAACCAATTCACTAGGGTTGGAATTAGAACCGTTGATCCAAAGATGGTTGGATCTTCAACTGTCGATTCCTTCCCCTGCTCTGCTGCAGATTTCTGTGGCTGGGTGAAACGTTTCAGCCGTCGATCCGGTTATAACTCAAAGGCCAAGATCGAGGGATGAAAGTGGTTGGCAAAAAAAATTGCTAGACTGTTTCTGATTGGTTCAAGTTCCATCCACCCCAGATTTTGGCCAAGGCACACACACACACGACTGAGTATATCCTCCGAATATATCTCAGCGGACAAGCGAGTCCGCCCAGGGGAGCTCGCTGCCCGCGGGAAAAAAAAAAAAAAAAAAAAAAAAAACCCATTCGGGCATGTATCCGGTCAGGGAGGCATCAACCCTAAACACAGGGATGCATGGATTTAGGGTTGATGGCTCTCTCGGATGGCATGCCATCCGATAGGGATTTAGTTTTTTTCTGCCCGGGCAGCATGTCGTCAAGTCGTCAATGGGTCGTTAGGCTTCATGACCCATTTCCGCTGGGATATTCCAACACCCAACCCTCTTTCCCTTCATTCATTTCTCAGCTTCCAGACATCTATTGTTTAGTTCCTCTCCCACCAGTTTCACCTGCCAGGCCACACACTGGTTTTTTTACCTAAGAAACATGCGCTGCTTGTTGTGTTACCATCGATTCCCTACGGTTTGCATATACCTTATCGCGTGTCGAAGGGCGATATAGGTAAGCCGATGTGGCGTGGCGGTATGAACGTGCTGATATGGGCGTAGGCGTGCTTGCTACGGCAGCGTTGTAAGCATCGCTTTTTGTTTCTCTTGTCTGTTTTTCTAACACTAACGGTTGTATTTGTCGTTGTTTTCTGTTGTTTCTCCTCCACACCTAAGACGCCGAATGTATGCGTCGTGATTTAGCTGGCTAAAACTTTGACCGTGCTATTTCTATCGTCAGTTTTGTGCCCATTAGTAACCCAACTTGAGTGTGTCGCGATTTTGCAGGCGTAAGGCATGTCCATGGTCTATATAGTGTCATTCCTACTTAGCGAATTAGTGGTAAGTACTTGCGTTTTTTTTTTTTTTTTTTTTCCCTAAAATGTTGGCATTTGTTTTACAGGGATGGGCTTCACGCTTGTTGCTGCCAAGTTCGATCACCTTGTAGGGTCGCTCTTGGAGGCCAATCGTACAAAGCGTTGTGTATGGAATAAACAAGTCTCTCCTGTCATATTGTGTATTTGTAACGTTTTATTAATTTGTTTTTATCTCCATAAAACAAACGATCACAGCGTGGCCTGGAAACATCTAATCGAATGCGTGAAAAAGCCCTGCTATGTGTTTTATACCTACTCCATGCTATGATACATAGCGTATACATTGTGTACACTAATCACCCTGTTTATATAGCCATCGTATGTGTGTGTGGGGTGGAGCTAGATTGCGCACATTGTAAGGACTTTACTGTACCCATTGTCGGAATGAAGTACGGACAGAGTGGCTAATTCGCCCCTGGTGTCGAAGTGGGTGGTATGTAGGAGAACATGCACACACATTGTATGGGATGCGCGATGGCCTACACTTTGTAAAAACAGTGCATATTGGTTGTCGATGGGGTATATGTACATTGTCCAGTCGAACCCGTTGTTTGGGATGCGCGATAGTTGTTACCCGTCGCAACGAAAACGAGCTGTCGTTTTTCGTCGATGGATAGCGAGCCGCCCCAGATCGCACCGTCGGCGTAGAGACTCGAATTGCCGCCATTCGCGGGAAGGCTGTACGTCTACCATATCTTCTGCCTAGTCGCCACGTCGAGCTGAACTACACTCCCGATGAACGTGCAGCAGGGGATGTCAGAATAGGAACGGAAGAATGAAACAGAAAACATGAGTTTCACTAGCAGACAGTTCAGTACATATAGCAAACCCTAACAGGGCTGTACTCACTATAGAGTACCCCACTGCAGACTAGAGAAATATAACATTCTGACAGAGGATGCAGGTCGACGAGCGTCTTCCACACCAGCTCGCCGTCGGATCGTCGAACAGCCAGCACGAACGCGGGATTGAAAACCCCGATAATGAGCAGGTTGGACGGGTTTCCGTTGCCTTTTACAACGGTTGGCGTGGACCGGCAGTAGGGCGCTCGGCCTTGATAGTTGTTGGGAACGCCGTAATCCGTTCCAATCTGCTTCCTCCACACGACCTCCCCCGAGCTGCGCTTCACGGCGTACAAGCCCCCCGCGTGGTCGCATAAGTAGACGAAATTGCCGACGACAGCCGGCACTGCGCCCACGTCACCTGTGGTTTCCACCTCCCAGGCGAGCGCGAGCTGGGAGACGGTGGCTGGCGAGATGCGTCGCCCCGTGTTCGCCCACCTGCGGTTGAGCAAGTCGCCGCCATGGTTCGTCCAATCTGCATAGCTGATGGCTGGCAATCCCAGCATCAAGAAGAAATCAGCGGAGAGGAATCCTCCTTGAAAGGTGCCAAATGCGTTTGCCATGGTTGAGCTTTGACAAGTGCTAAATCACTAAATGTTTGATTTGAATGTTGATGCAGAATACTGAATCTCCATTGACATTTGTACGTTTTGCTGAAGGTGTTTCCTTCACTTTGGAGGGCACGAAGGGATTGCACATAGCGCATCGCGTCATAACAGTGTCTGTTGGCTCATCGCATTGTCTGATCTGAACCGAATATAGTCGTATTGATGGGAGGTTGCGAGCGACACGAAAGGACTGCGAGAACTTGGACGTGGTGACGGGGTAGATGGCGACGTTCGGCTGACGGGCAAACAGCTTTCGCAGAATGTAGCGAAACGTACGGTACTACTCGCGTCGCGACGATGTGGAAGTGCGTAGAATTATTAGCTTTACAATTAACTGGTACACCTGACATTCCCAACTCCCAACGCATTTTATTACTAGAACCTAATCATGTCACTCAGCCGGCCACTAAATGGTGAAAAGCAAGGCAGTGTATCTCTAGGTAAATTGAAAGGACCAGATACTGTGTCCTGAGCTCCCAGTAGCCAGAACGAGCCCCAGCAACCATTGCATTATTCGACAGGAAGTTACTATGCATGGCTGGTGGTGTGGAATGCCCCCTAAAGTCTGACCCACTTCCACAATTTTGAATTAGAACGATTCAGTTGAACAGTACCATTGTGACTATGATGACGCAAACCCCATTGATGTCTGCAAGCAGAGTGTAAGGTAAAAGGGAGGATTGGAAACCACATGAGATAACACGGAGGAGTCACAGTAGCAAAACTGCAGTAGCAAAAAAACAGTGTAACCGATGCAGCCAAACTGACAAAAATGATGCCGGGTGGCGGCATGCCATGCGAGCTCACCTCGTTCAGGTCTGCCAGGTGTCGCACTCTGAAGTCGTCCAGCGTGGCAGCAATCTCCGCTGGCGGGAGCTTGGCCTGACGTGCACACATGGTTTGGAGGCGGATAGGTTGATCCGGGAATGAGGGGATGGGAAGGTGAATCGTTGGGGGGTGGAGAGATGAGGATGCAGGCAACAGCAGGACTAAGTGATACAACCCTCGCATAAAAAGAGCAAAACAAATAGCACAACAAATAGCACAACAAATAGCACAACAAATAGCACAACAAATAGCACAACAAATAGCACAACAAATAGCACAACAAATAGCACAACAAATAGCACAACAAATAGCACAACAAATAGCACAACAAATAGCACAACAAATAGCACAACAAATAGCACAACAAATAGCACAACAAATAGCACAACAAATAGCACAACAAATAGCACAACAAATAGCACAACAAATAGCACAACAAATAGCACAACAAATAGCGCAACAAATAGCACAACAGATAGCACAACAAATAGCACAACAGATAGCACAACAAATAGCGCAACAAATAGCACAACAGATAGCACAACAAATAGCACAAGAGTTCTCCACTGCAGAACAGCCATCTTACCACCCCCTCCCCCACCCTTTCCTCCCCCTTCCAACTCCCCGGCACGCACCTGGGCAAGCACGGCCGCTGCCAGCTGCAGACTGGGCTCCAACGTCTCTGGCACCACCTGATGCATGTGTAAGCAGGTGGGGGCAGGTGGGATGCGGTTGTGAGCAGGTGTGAGAAGGTGTGAGAAGTTGTGAGAAGGTGTGAGAAGGTGTGAGAAGGTATGAGGGTGAAATGGGAGAAAGACAGCATTGAGGCTAAGTACACGATTCATCAGCAAGAGCAGGAGGGAGGAGGGGAGGGAAGGGGAGGGAGGGAAAGAGGAGAAAAGGGATTTAGAAGGATACCCTTAAAATAGCCAACCAGTCCCCATCATCCTTCTCCACCTCGCCCCTCTCCTCCCCTCCCTTTGTCCCTTCTCCCCCACTCCAATCCCATCTCCCCTCCCCAATCTCCCCAGACTCACCGCAGTGGCGCCGGCCTTCTCGAGGTTAATCCCATGGTCGACGTCATGTGCGCGCACAAACGTCTTGATGTGCGGGAAGTTGCGCGTCAGCGCCCACACCGCCCGGTAGTTCGCCCCGGGCGTGTCCAGAGTGATGACGGCCGCCGCCGCCCGCTCCGCCCCCACCTTGTGCAGCACGTCTCTGCTGCCCGCATCGCCGAAATACACCGGCAGGTCGAGGGCCTGCCCTGCACTGACTCTCTCACTGGCGGGATTGAGAAGAAAAAGGGAGGAGAAGGGGCAGGGAGAGGGACAGGGATCACGTACCACCCAGGTGATTGCATTCGCTCTGCCCCCACCTTGTGCAGCCTAAAGGAGGTGAGGCTCACGTGTGGACGTCGAGGCCAACAAAGGGGATGAGGTGCTCTGAGAGCAGCTGGCCGATGATCTGCCCCACCCGTGCGGAGAGCCAAGAGGAGAGGCATGCATGGAGTGCAGCTTCTGAAAGCAAGAGGCTCACACCAAGTCAGACTTCGGACGTCGAGGGCAACAAAGGGGATGAGGCGCTCTGAGAGCAGCTGGCCGATGATCTGCCCCACACGACTGAGACTGAGCTGACCGTCTCTTATGAGAGCACGAGGCTGACAGGAGGGAGAGACTCACGTGCGGACGTCGAGGGCAACAAAGGGGATGAGGCGCTCTGAGAGCAGCTGGCCAATGATCTGCCCCACGCGACCAAAGCCACAGATGATGATGTGCCCCTGCAGGTCGTCCGTCTCTGTCTCCTGTGGCTCCAAACTCCTCACGTCCTGCTGGTCGAACCGCGCCGCCAGCAGCTGACCAAAGCCGGCGAGCCAGGGTGTGATGGCCATGCTGATTCCGACTATGAGGAAGAGTAGCGAGGAGAGCTGCGCCGGAATGATGCCCTGATGGGGTAGGGGGGTGGTTGGAGCATGGAAAGTGTGTGTGGTGATTCAAGCAGTGAGGGCGAGCCAGGGTGTGATGGCCATGCTGCTTCCGACTATGAGGAAGAGGAGCGAGGAGAGCTGCGCTGGCATGATGCCCTGAAGGGGGGGAGGGATGGAAAATTGGGAGGCGGGGATGAAAATGTGGAAGAGTGAGGAACGAGGTTTTGAAGGAAACTGGAGGGGGGAGTGTGCGATTCAACCAGAACAGAGCATAGCAATGATTACCACAACAAGGGAGAAAGTAACAGAAAAGAAAGATAGGAGAGTCCCCCCCATACCTTCTGCACAATCTCCCCAAAAGCGGCAGAGGCGAACTCCCCACCAGGAGCCAGCAGCAGCCCGGTGCGCACAGCAGCAATGGTGGAGAGACCAAAGTAGCGCCCCATAGCCGTGATTAGGGTTGTCTTGCCGATTATGAGAGCAGACCTTTTAAACATCCCTGGCACTTACCTCCTCACCTTGTCAATGCCCCCACCTAACCCCTTCGTCCGTACCTTTTGCACGGCCTCCCCGAATGCAACAAAGGCGAACTCCCCTCCAGGCGCTAGCAGCAGCCCGGTGCGCACAGCAGCAATGGTGGAGAGACCAAAGTAGCGACCCATGGCTGTTATGAGAGCTGTCTTCCCGATGATGAGCGCTGCTATCGACGCGATGATGAGGGGGAAGCGCGCGATCAGGAGCTTGGGGTCTATGGACATACCCACCTGGAGGGGGGTTACCGGGAGGGGGGGATGGGGAGAGGGGGAATGGAAGGTGAGGGATGGTGCTGTCGCACGGGTGAACACAGCAGTTGGCTCAGAGGGACGAATGGGTCAGAGGGAGGAATGGGTCAGAGGGAGCATCAGCGTCACATGTAGCGTTGACTCACAGTCATGAAGAAGAGCCCGAGCAGCAGCCCACGGTAGGGGTTGATATCCGACTCCACCTGCAGAGCAAACTCCGTCTCTGCCAGGAGCAGCCCTGCTAGGAACGCTCCCAGTGCCATTGACAGGCCCGCCTGCACAGAGAGAGGTAAGGGGAACAGAAGGGAGGAGTGGGGAGAGGGGAGGGGAAGGGAGGGGGAAAAGGGATTTAGGGGTTGATATCCGACTCCACCTGCAGAGCAAACTCCGTCTCTGCCAGCAGCAGCGCCGCTAGGAACGCTCCCAACGCCATTGATAGCCCAGCCTGCACAGAGAATGGTAAGGGGAAGGGAGGGGAGGAGAGGGGAGGAGAGGGGAGATTATGATAAAATGCATTGCACTGACAGCTCTCCACCTGCAGAGCAAACTCCGTCTCTGCTAGTAGCAGCCCTGCCAGGAAAGCTCCCCACGCCATTGACAGGCCCGCCTGCACAGCGGAGGGAGGGGAGGGGAGACAGGAGTGCAGGGGAGAGAGAGAGGGAAGTGGCAAGGTGGACATTTTTGGAAGGCTGAAGTGTGGGAGGTGGAATGACGGAGAATGACATTCAGAAGGAGGGAAAGTGCTGTCATGTGTGACCCAAACAACCCACCTGCGCTGCCAGAGACCCACCTGGGCGGTGAGCTGTGAGGCAGTGCAAGAGGACCCACCTGTGCGGTGAGCACGGAGGTGCCGAGCACGACGAGCAGCGTGTTGGCGGCAAAGATCTCCGCGTTGTGATTCTCCGCCATGCTGCGATAGATGGGACGCAGTAGCTGGTTGGGAAGTGGTGAGAAGGGGCGAGAAGGGGTGCATGCATGGGGTTTAAGATCTCCGCGTTGTGATTCTCCGCCATGCTGCGGTAGATGGGACGCAGCAGGTGGTGGGAGGAAACGGAAAGGAAGGGGTGACAGGCGGTGAGAGGGTTTGCATAAGGTTTAACATCTAGTGTTGTGATTCTCCGCGATGCTGCGGTACATAAGGTGCAGCAACCAGGGGAGAGGGGGGGGGGGGTGGTGGAAGGGGATGGGAAAGAGAGGGCAGGTAGGATGGGAGGGAGTGAGACCAGCGAGGGAGTATCGATGGAGGATGAGGACGGGGGAGGTAGGACGGAGCGACGCCTCTACACTCGTGTAATGTTGGCTGTTGTGAGTGAGATGGTTCAGAGGCAGAGCTCGAGATAAGAGAAGCACTCCTGCAAAACCACACCCCACCAGTCAGCCGCCCAAAGAGCACCCACCAGTCTGCCACCCAAAGAGCACCCACCAGTCTGCCGCCCGCAAAGATGCCTGCAATGGCGACCACTGCCTTCATTGCTGCCAGCCCCAGCGCCTTGGCAATGGCTGCCAGACCCACGGACTGACATAGGGGGGAAAGGGGGGGAGAGAGCGCAGGGGGGAGGTGTGGAGTAGGTGAGGGAAAGAAACAAGGTGTGGGCGACCACAGCCTTCATTGCTGCCAGGCCCAGCGCCTTCGCAATGGCCGCCAGACCCACTGACTGACATAGGGGGGAAGGGGCGGGGTGGTTGGAAGAAAGAGAGGAAGATCAAGGAGGAACAAATTGTGGGGACTGACGAAAAATTGGATCGGATTATGCGACATGAGAGATGGGCGCTGATGAGGTGGCGAGGCGATCACAACATGTCAGTTTCGTTTGCAATGCGCGAGCTACAGAATGGCAGGGTGAGAGTGAGCGTGAGGGTGAGGGTGAGGGTGAGGGTGAGGGTGAGGGCGAGGGCGAAGGCGAGGGTGAGGGAGGGCGGAGGACGAGGGTGAGGTTGAGGTTGAGGGTACGGGAGGGCGTGGCGTACCCCATCGGCAGAAGTCGGGGAGGGTGCGAGGAGAGGGATGAGGATGAGCAACACCACCACCGCCAGATCCTGGTGAGACGTATTGTATAGAGATACGAAAGCGGATGTGGGCCGAGAGGAAGCGGCATGTGGGATGGAGAAGCGAGAAAGAGAAGAGAGGTGGGGGAGAGAGGAGGTTGGATATAAGTGGACGAGATTGGCACAGCAGCAGGAAGCCATAACAGACAGCAGTGACAGACAGCCACACAAAGTATCCACACATGTACCCCGGGAAATTGTAGCGTCTGAAATGTGTTCGCAGAGGAAGGGTGTATTTGGAAGAGCAGCAGATGGCACCTGGAAAGGCAGCAGATAGCACTGGAAAGGCAACAGGTGCCACCTAGAAGGGCAGCGAATAGCACCTGAAAGAGCAGGACCGAGAAGGTTGCACGGCCATGGCGAGAGGTGCTTTCCCCTCGCTCTTGCAGCACCTGCGGTGTTGGGTGGGGTGATGTCGATGGGAATGGGGATGGGGGTTTGGGATGGGGATGGAACCGAAAAAGCGATGGGGTGTGCATGTTGCTGTGAGCGATGGTTATGACGATGTCGAGTGGGATCATAGTGATGGGTTGATGAATCAGGCGGTCCAACGTTGGATTCACCTGAATTGCTGAATCCACATGAGGGCTGAGATCACCTGGGGAGTGAACTATCTCACCTGGAGCACGACTGGAGTGGAGGAGAGGGCGAGGCCGCTGCCAATGACGAGAGCAGCCGGTACTTACGCCCGTCAGACAACACCTGAACGCCGAGATCACCTAGGCTGAAGTGAACACACCTGGAGCACGACGGCAGTGGAGGAGAGCGCGAGGCCGCTGCCAATGACGAGAGCAGCCGGACCCGACACCGATGCTAGCGCCGCCACACTCACTCCCACCACCACTGCCGTCACCAGCACCTGATGCAGACGGGATTGAGGGGAAAACAATAAGGTTTGAAACATGCAAGCAAGCGCTGCCACACTCAGGAGTCACGGGCCGCCACTAGGAACGGCAAAACAGCCTTTTTTTAGTCGACTCAAAAACGAGTCACGGGCCGCCACTAGGAACGGCAAAACAGCCGAGGGTGGCGTGGGTGCAAACGCAGAGCCAACGCATGGCAGAGGATGGCAAGGTTTGTCCTACCTGATCAATGCCAAGGGATGGTGGAGGGTGGGGTGGGGTACCTGTGCGGAGCCAAGGCCGAAGACGTATTTGCGCATCGAGTTGAGCCGCTCCAGTGATAGCTGTGATGGTGACGTGGGGAGGGAAGGGGTGGAAGCGGAGGTGCAAGAGGCGTGAAAGTGGTGATCAGTGAGAGGAGAGGGGAGAGGAGAGGAGAGAGAGGAGAGAGAGGAGAGAGAGGAGAGAGGAGAGGAGCCAAGGCCGAAGACGTATTTGCGCATCGAGTTGAGTCGCTCCAGCGATAGCTGTGGTGGGTTTAGGGAGATGGCACGGTACCCACCTTCCATTCAGTGCAAGCAAGAGGGAGCAGGACTGACTGACCTCGGGGCCGATGTTGAACATGAGGAAGACCACGCCCAACTCTGGCAGAGACTTGATGCACGCCAGCATGAGAGGTGGAGGCTGGAGCGGACTGACTGACTGACTGACTGACCTCGAGGCCAATGTTGAACATGAGGAAGACCACACCAAACTCTGCGAGTGCCTTGGTGCCATGCACGTGCTTTATGATGGAGAGCGCATACGGACCGATGAGGGCGCCCGCTGCTAGGTAACCCAGCACAGGGCTGCCTGTGGGAGAGGAACGCAGATAAAGGAAAGAGGTGGGAAAGAGAGAAAAATGTTGGGCGAAGAGCGGATTGGGAGGCACGCATGTGCTTTGTAATGGACTGCAAAACTTGTAGATCAGAGCGCCCGCTCTGCTAGGCAGCCCAGCACAGGGCTGCCTGTGGGACAGGAACATAGATACAGGAAAGAGGTGGGAGGGAGATAAAAGAGCAAATTGGTGCCTCTCTGTTTCTCATGCCAGATGAGGAAAGAGGTGGGAGGGAGAAATGCCTCTGCATCTCTTGACTCGTGCTCCCCTCACTCACCTCCCGGCAGTTTCTGGAACGCGGGGACAAAGACCACGCTAGCCAACAGCAGCCAGAGCACGTCATACAGCGACGACTCCTCCTCGTTGGGCTCGTGGTTGGGCATTTTCTCCACCATCTCCCTCATCCTCATGCCCACCCACTGCACCTCCGCCGCTGCTACCCACTTACCACTCACCACCGCTCACAACCGCTCGCTCCCCACCCACTCACCTCCCGGCAGCTTCTGGAAGGCTGGGACGAAGACCACACTGGCCAGCAGCAGCGAAGCCTCCTCTTCATTCGGCTCGTGCTTGGGAATTTTCTCCACCATCTCCCTCACCCTCATCCCCACCCGCTGCACCTCCGCCACTAGCGGCGGCACCATCTCCCTCACACTGCTGCAAGCCACCACTGCCCGCTCACCGCTCACCTCTCACCACCACTCATCACCGCTCATAACCATTCCCCACTCACCACCAGGCAGCTTCTGAAACGCCGGAACAAACACGACGCTAGCCAGCAGCAGCCAGAGCACGTCATACAGCGATGCCTCCTCCTCGTTGGGCTCGTGCTTTGGCATTTTCTCCACCATCTCCCTCACCCTCATCCCCACCCGCTGCACCTCCGCCACTAGCGGCCGCACCGCCTTCTGCTCCACCTCCATCACAGCCATCGTCACGGGCGGCACGTGCTGTCCTCTCTGCGCCGCCCGGTTCTCCATGCGCGCGTTCAGCGCCACGCACCCCAGCAGCAAAACGACAAACGCCACCACAGCCTTGGGGAGGTGCCTTCTGAGGGAGGTGACGGCGCTGGGGAGGGCGCTCTGCAGCCACGCCCAGGGGGAGGTGGCACCTGCGGCGGTGGAGGTGTCATCTGGAGCAGAAAAGAAGGATGCGGAGACCCAGCGGGAGGACTTTTTGGGCTTAGACATGCTCGATGCAGCTCCTGCTGATGCTGATGATGCTGATGAACCAGATTTGGAAGTTGATGCAGATCCTGAGGCTACTGTTGCTGCTGTAGCTGCTGCTGCTGGGACTGCATCGGGCCCAAGCTGCGTTTCTGACTCCACCTCTCCCTCATCTGCCTCCACCGCCCCTGCCTTGTCCAATCCCACGCTGACACGTGCCACCCCATTCCCCTCCCCAGGCCCTTTCCCCACAGGCGCAGGAGCAGCAGCAGCAGCAGCGCTGCTACTTGCACTCTTCACCCCACCGTTGCTCGCAGCAGCAGGCACTACCTCCCCTGTAAACCCCCCTTCCTTCCCTGTCTCCCCACCACCGCTTTGCACCGCTCTCTTTTCCGCTCCAACCGCACTCTCTCCCTTGGCTGCCTCCTCATCGCTCTCCTCCCCCTTTCCCCTGCCCCCATCCGCCCCCACATCCGCCTCAACTGCGCCTGCTGTGGTAGTGCCGCCCATCTCCGCACCTGCCCCACATGCTGCCACCCCACCAGCTGTAGCAGCACCACCAGAAGCAGCAGTGCTGACGACACCAGGAGAGGTGGCGTCAGAACCACCAGCGGCATCAGCTGCAGAAGCGGTGCCACGTGGCAGCATCTCCTTTGCTGCCGCCTTCCCCTCTTTCACTGTAGACGCCAGCGCAGCAGACGCCCGAGCCACCTCATTGGCCAGCAGCGCCTCCTTCTCCACCGTCAGCAGCGCCGCCTTCTCCCTTGCCTGCAACAAGGGTTTTGGGGTTTCAGTGCAACAAATCAACCATAGAAGACTACCTTCGATTTTGAGTAACCTGATAAAAAACAACTGTTTTCGAAACTCATCAAGAGAGAATCACGCATGCACGTCTGCTCATTCACCTGATCGTTTGAATTCCCGAAGCTTCCAAAAATCCCTCCTTTTTCTGTCATTCCCCATCCGCCGTACCTTGGCGATATCTTTGCTCAGCTTCTCCGCCCTGCTGATTGCCTTGCTCGCATCCGACACGCGCCTATTCGCCTCCACCTCCCCCGCCACAGCCTCTTCCGCCGCCGCCATGCTCGCACCCGCGCGCTCCTCCGCCTCCTGCGCCAACCTCCGCGCCTCCCCCGCGCGCTCCGAGCGCTCCGCCGCCAGCTGCAGCAGCCGCTCCTTGCGCGCCAGCACCTGCGTCAGCGCCTCCCGCCGCGTGCGCAGCTCCTCCCTGCGCGCCTGCAACAACTCTTGCGCCTCTTTCACCGCAGACTTCAGAGCGGCTACCCTTTCCGCAGTTACCTTTTCCGCAGAAGGCTTCCCCCCGGCGCCAGTTCCCGGATCCGCGCTCCCCAGCCCGCCTTCCTCCTCTGACCTTCCCCCTTCGCCCTCTCTATTAACGAACTCTAGCAGTGCTGCGCGCAATTCCGCTTCCGCCGCCGTTGCCGCCTCCTCTTGCGCAACGAACGCCGCATCAGCAGCGTTCAGCGCCTTCTGCGCTGCCACCTCGACAGCCAGCTCAGTTTCCACGTCACGCAGCACCTCATCCACCGCGTTCTCCGCTGCAACAGCCGCGTCCTTCAGCTCAATCGATCGTTCCGCAACGCGTTGCGCCTCAACCTCGGCGGCTAGAGACTGGTCCCTAGCCGCTGCTAGTTCTTGCTCCGCAACTTCCAACATAACGCGCAGCGAGCTAAGAGGCGATTCGGAGCCCCGCACGCTGGCTGCCGAACCAGAAGAATCCGGGGAAGCAGGGGGCGGCTCGAGAGTGGACGGCGGCGCCTCGGGGTCCCTTGCACTCGCTGGTTGAGCCTGCACGCTCGGTTTCGCTGCGCTTTCTCCTGATGCGCTTTTCCCCCCTGCGCTTCCCCCGGCTGCGCTTTCCCCGCCAGTCATCTGGGAAAGCTCTCCGCCATCGCTTGTTACGGCTGATTTCACGGGCTCATTTTCCTCGTCATTGGACGGATCTGACGGGTAAAGTCGCCACTCCTTATCGCCATCCGCTGCTGCCAGCCTACGAGTTCCCGGGTTACCAGGTAATCGACTGGGATAGATGCCATACAAAGAATCAACAGATCTGGACGAAAACGGTGATGCTTTTGCGATCGAGTGGCCCTGGGGGAAGCCTGAGGGGATCTTCACGCCAACGCCACGCCGCGATCGATTCTTACCGCGGCCTTCAGCGCGCGACGCGATTGGCACACCTAAGGGAGCTGGGGCTTTCAGTGCCGACGGATTCACCGTGCCGCTCGCCATGGCAGAGTCAGTTGTCGTGGCTCAGCAAAAACCTTCACAGCAATTGCCAATGCTTTTCTGAAGAATGTTTCGAACAGCATGAAGTCGGGAGCATCATCAAGCCCCATAACATTCAGACTGCGGGTTTGGATGCGGGTTCACGAGGTGGCGATGTAACTACGCTGGGTATAGTGCGGTGACAGAATCTTGTGTGTTGTAGGAATGTCGAGATTGGCACGCCATGCCAACTTGAATCTTGGGGCCGCCGCGTCTGCGACTCAGATTGAAAGTGGATATTTATTCGCCAGCCGGGCAGGCAGGCTAGCCAGCATGGAAAAGAAAGGCCACGTGGAGTAAACAAGTGCACACCCATATTTTGAGATCTCCCCAGCTTGGAATTTCGCAAATCCCAAGACCTGGCTTGTGTGGTGAAGCTGGGGCGGCCTGATCCACCCAAAAGGAAAGTACAATGACGTACGCTATTGTAGCTTCTTCGACTGAACGAAGCAGCTTATTTCAGGAAGATAAGATGCTCACACCAGATTGCTTAAACAAAAATAAGAACCAAGGTGGAAAAACAATTTTGCCTTTTAAACCTAGCTGGCTTGCAACGTCCAGTGACAGGAACAGGTACGTACATATGGTCTCCATTCACCCGTGATACCCAGAGCAATTTACTGAAGTTATTAATCTAACAACCTACATACTCCTATCCACCAACATGCTCTAATCCTAGTCTTCTAGAATTACATCACTGCCATATCCCCCACTAATCTCGCTACCATAATCGTAGTCCTGATATCCATCCACCGCCCAAGGAACCACAGCTTCTAATAACCTATCCCCAATGCTTACATATTCCTGCACACGTGGCTGCTCCCCCCAAACCCTAATCTGCGGTGGCGGGGCCTTCTCAATCACATCCGGAAAGCCGGTGCCGCATCGCAGCCGCGTCCTTCCCCGCCCGCGGAAAAGGACAAACGCAGCCACGCCGACTGTAGCGGAGGCAATCATCCGCCAGAGGCCCGAAACCGGCGGGGGAACGCCGCGGTGGCGCGGACACGGCTGTCGCGGGCGCGGAGAGGACTGCCGCGGGATCGGCGGACTTTGTTGATGACACTGGGGAAGGTTGCGGAAGGAAGACTGGTCGTCAAAATCCGTGTCTGACGTGGAAAGAGGATCTGACAAGGCGTCAGCAAATTGCTCTAAATGAGGAGATTCTTGTCCGTCCCACTCAACCTCGGGTCGCGAGGATGAGGCAGGCTCGGATATGGACTCGACGGGTTCGGAACCGACGACAAGGTTAAGACCTAAGAGTTCTACGGACTGGTCGAGCTCGAAATTTGGACGGTCGCGCTGAGTTTCAGAAACTCGCCCTGACGACACAGGCTCGGAAGTGACACTATCGGAGTCTAGTGCAGCCAATTGGCCCTCGCTTATGCCGTCCGCATTCGGCCTCCCCAGCTCTTCCTCACAACTATCTCTACTGTTCGTGTGGCAGTTCGCACAATTCGCTAAAGAAGCGGCAGCGCAGCCAGCTGCATTTGATGGTACACCGGAGTGGACGATCCGACTGTCTCTCGCACAACACGCGGAAGAAGGCTGCCTGTCAATCAAAATGGTTGTATCGCAACGCATGGAATCGAGCTCCGCGATGGATCCGACGACAGGTTCTCGCAGTGCGGGAGCCATGGCTGGACTTTGGCTATCGAGACGTTGATGCTCTGCTGCAGTTCTCAAAACGTATTAGGTCTGGTAGTCCCAACCGCAGTCGTGAGTATCGACAACAACAACGTACCATAGACTGGATAGGCTTGCTGGTGGGGACGGATTGTGAGAGTGACGGGGAAAAGCCGATTCCGTCTTCCGCCATTCCCTTTGAACGCGGGGAGTGTTGCGGATGACAGATCCCCCTGCAGCTTCCGCATAGCTCAAACCAACACTGGCGCAGGGGTGTCCGACGCGGGAAAGGACCCTGTTTCGAGTCTGTGCTGCGTGTCAGGGTGGAGAGAAACATCAGATACTAGCAGCTTATTGTAAGGAAAATCACTTTTCCTACTTCGCGTCCCTGCTCAGCACGTACACCACTGTTCCCGCCAACAGCACCCCACCATATCCCGTTACCATTCGCGACATTCGCCTCGATCCCATTCCCGCCACTCTTCACGATGCGACCCAACCTCACGGTTCGGTTGGTAACCCGCGCTCCGGACCTCCGCCTCGACAGTCCCCCAACCTCGGCACCAGGCCCGTCGCGCACCCCACTTCCCACACGTTACCGTTACCACTGTAGCTTCGCTATATATTCTTCGCTCAATTCTTCGCTCATTGGATTCTTGCCGCGATAGTGCAATCCTCGCTCGCTCACTCAATTGCACTCGTAACACTTGGTTATCAGAGCCTACGATCTTCTCTCGGACCGCACCCACACATTCGCTTCCCCACTATCTCATTTTTTTGGGGGGGGTAGACGTCCCTCAGCGATCAAGCACCGCCGCTCGTAGTGCTCTCTCGTAAGCACGCACGGCCACGACAGAGGCTCTCGCTGAGCTTGCCCGACACCCCCGCCATGGCTGAAATCACCCTCGCAACACTGACATAAGAGCAGCTCGGCCGTCTCGTACGGCAACTCGAGGATTCGGACTTCGAAATCGTCACACTCACGGCGGAACGCGACTCCGCTCCCCAGCAATCGACAGTGAATGCACAAGCAAACGCACCTGCACAATCTGAAGAACCGATCATCATCTCGTCAGGCACACCGACACAGAACAACAGTGTGGGACAGCGCTCAGGCGTAGCCAGTGAGGGCGCCGCTCACTCAATGCCTGGCATGGAGAGAAACAGGGCCGCACCGAGCCCACGGGAGCCCCGCGAAGCCCGTCGGCACGTGGAATGTGTAGCGACAAGTGGCGAATACGCCGCCACGGCACCAATGCCACTCAAGCCACAACGCCCGCCCTGTTTCGACCCGAGCCAACGTGGAGGTCCGACGGTTCAATCGTGGGTCTTCACGATGAACGTATTTTTCGACGCCAATTACGTCGAGTCGGACGCAGCGAAGATTCGCTACGCTGTTTCGCTGCTGAGGGGCCCCGCCATGGACTGGTGGCGAGTCATCGTGACATCGCCACGCGCCTACGAGCCACCGTCGCAGGAAGACGGGCCCACGGGCCCAGCCGTCACCTGGAGTTCATTCTGCGAGACAGCCCAGTACAGCACGTGGGATGCGTGGTGCGCAGGCCTTCGGGCGCGCTTCGAGCCGATTGCGGCTTCGATTTCGGCGCGTCAGAAGCTGCGCACTTGGCGGCAGCTCGGGTCGGTCCAAGATTACACTAGCGGTTTTCTCGCACTATGCGAACAAGTCGGCTACATGCACGAAGCGGAGCGGGTGGACCGTTACGTCGGGGGGCTAAAGCCGGACATATCGCACGAAATTATGTTACGCGGGCTCTCGAATTTCAACGAGATCCTCGCGCTCGCCGAGAAAATCGACATCCTACGGCGACCGAGACCGGGGTCCTACTACGGACAACGTCCTCGGGGACCGATCGAACACGCCACCGTACACGCCGTTGCGACGAATGCAGCTGCCGCACCATTTAAGGGACGCTGTTTTGCTTGCAATAGGCTGGGACATCGCAAGAGTGAATGCCCAGAGGAGCTGAGGCGCCATGGAACAGAGCAGGGGCGAGAGTCTCAGAGGCCGGGAAACGCCAACAGTCAGTAGAAGTTGGGCCAGCTACTGACGAGACTGCCTGCTCACCCAACTTCACCGACCCTCACCGAGTCACAGTACCGATTCACGCTATCGATCGGGCTCGGACGAATAAGGAGGGTACAACGACGGATTGCCCCGTACTGATTCGCGGGAAAATACAGGAAGCAGCAGTGAAGATTTTTATAGACGGAGGCGCAAGTCACAGCTTAGTTAATACCGCGACTACAAAGAAGCTGCAACTGACACTTAGTCGGTGCTTACCGGAGATAGATGCACGCTTAGTTGACGGAACGCCGCTGGCCATACGGGAAAAAGTGGAGAGAGTAAAAGTCCGCTGTGGGGGGTACTTCGGGTTTACGCAGGAAATGCTCGCGACGACATTGGACGTGCACGACATTTTATTGGGACGTGATTGGCTGCGACGATACAACCCACGAATCGATTGGACGACGGGTAGCTGCACTGTGCGAAGTAGCGGTAACTGGGTGGAACTACCTCGCTGGCAGTCGCCTGAGTCTTCAACAGTCCACGTCAACGCCATCACGATGAAACGGGCTGTCGCCGCTGGAGCTGACGTGTACGCGGTGGATATCGCAATAGTGGAAGAAGCAGATCAACCGAGCGATTTTCAGAAACTACTGACGGCAGTACCATCAGAGCTACAGGAACTGTTGAAACGGTTCCCGGGGATCTTCCCCGATGACTTACCGGAGGGTCTGCCACCTCAGCGGGCACATGATCACCGAATAAAATTAGAACCCGGGGTAGAGCCAACCGTACAGCGACAGTTTAGACTGACAGAGCCCGAGCTCGACGAGCTAAGGAAGCAGTTAGATTACCTGTTAGAGAAAAAAATCATCCGACCGAGCTCATCGCCATTCGCCGCACCGATCCTGTTCACACCAAAAAATGACGGAGGGTTTCGCATGTGTATCGACTA